TTTCCCCCTCTTCATCAGGTTATCTTTTTTAAAAAAATATTTAATATAGTATTGTTTTATGCTGGTATTTAGCCATAATATAAGTTTCAAGTTTCAATTCTTAGTTGAAGCAAACTGCCAGATGCAGGCTGTGATTGCATGACACATTTGTCTAAAATAGAGTTGAATTATTAGTGGTTTAGCGTACTACGGGAAACCCAGGCATTGTCTTACCATATTTTGTGACTCAGTCACCTAGTTTAGCCATAAATGTTTGAATGAAATAAGTGCAATAGGAATATAGCATTTATGTTTTATTAAGTCAGGTTTTGCATGTTGTGTGAAACACAATCCACATATGAAGGGTTTTCCAACCTTGCTGCTCCTCCATAATCATTCTGCTTCTTCAATTTGCATTCCTTTGCTAATCCACAGCCATTATGCCTGTTTTCCCCTCCCAAGTCTTGGTAGAGTGAAGGATAGATGGGTGGAAGGGAATTTAATAATGATCTGTTTAGGCAGGGATGCACATCACTTTATTAATGGTAGAAAAAAAAACCCAGAAAACCAAATTGCACTGTTTTATAATGTTGCCAGGTCTCGCTACTTTGATCAGGATCATCAAGCCCTGGTCAAGACCAACTCATAGAGCAGATGTTGAACCCTCCCAAAAAAAGCTTTTGTTCTATTTCAGTCTCTTGTGAACAATAATGTTGGTGGATTTCTCAACTATTATGTTAAAACAACGCCTCAAGGTCCCAAATAGCTTCCAGAGGCACCATCAGAAAATAAATTGGATGCATCACTGCAGTCTAATGTTTTATCCAGAAATGTGGGTATCCACCTGGAAGAAAGATCTATGTGATAAAGAATCTCAGGGGCTTAAAATGGACAGCATAAATGATCCCATTCACATGGCAGTCTTGATAAACAGGTAAATCTCTTCCTATCAGTTCAGTTGTGAGAGCATCCATAAAAGAGATCTATATTTCAAACCTGCTTGAGTGCCCGAAAGGTGGGTTATTTCTATTCCACAGTAGGAATAAGCAAGTCAGAATGTCTATTCAATGCTCAATAATCCAGGACTGCCAATGGTTTAACAAGAACAACAAAACAATCATGTTTTCTGTACAGAAACATTTATTTTCCTTCTCTTCAATCGTGTCTGATTGACAGAGATTGACAGGATAAGAATCTGCCATTTTCTTGATTTTTCAGAAGTGGTTTGCCATTTCTTCTTTCCCAGGGCTGAGAAAAAGTGATTGGCCCAAGGTTACCTAGTTGGTTTCATGCCAAGGGGGCAGAAGTTGGTTTCATGCCAAGTGGGCAGAAGCTGGGGCAAGGATGGGAGGTCACCCCATCACCTGGAGCTTGCGTTTCAAACCTGGGCTGCTGGCTTTCCAGCCAAGTTCAGCATCTTAACCGCTGAGCCATCATGCCACCCCTTTATATTTATATATCTGTAGCTATATCTGTCTGTCTGTCTGTCCGTCCGTCCATCCGTCCATCTATCCAGCTGTCTGTCTGTCTGCCCATCTGTCTAATCATCCAGAACTCTGTGTGTGTGTGTGTGTGTGTGTGTGTGTGTGTGTGTTTTGTTCTGGATGTTTATTGTGTTTTGATTTTTAGTTTCTTATTTTTATGCTTCCACAAATTGCCCAATTGCTTTGTGAATTGAGTGGATATATATATAGGAATAGTTGCGAGAAGGCATGGAAGAGTTCCAAGTGAAGTACAACATCATCTGCATCCAGAATAAAAATCCATGAATGAGCTGGGTGATTTAACTATAAACAGAATCAACTTAGCTAGTCAAAAAAGAAAATGCAGAAGAAAACCAGAAATGAGATTGTTTAGGAAAGAAATGAGATAAATTCTTATACTGAAAAGAAAACTTTGGGCTATGGCTCCTGAAACACTTCAATAAATATTCTAAGCACTGCAAATCCCTTTGCTGTATTCCATATCATAATTTTCCACTTAGTGGATTTTATGATTTCCTAAATATGATCAGCTAAGTGTGAAAACTGGCTACTCTCCTTCCAGAGAATAAATTATTCATTAGAGACCTGATGCAAACACTAACCTATATAATAATTTGATTTTATCTATGTAGAATGCACACTGTCAACAAAACCAGCTTTATCTCCTAGTCTGTAGAAAACCTGAGGTTACTTTTAATCAGATCCTGATATTGTCCTAATATTCTCATCATTCCATTTCAATTAAATTAAACACAATTTGCTGCTGAAGAATACCCCCTCCCCCCCCAAGGAGAATTGTATTAATAAAAGGTGCTTTCTGTACATGTGGAATAGCTAGAAAGTCTGTGTGATCACAGACTGTGTAACCTGGAAAATATTTGTGCATCAGTGACATTAATAATGCAGACCACACTTTTACTGTAGATGGTAATTCGCAAGGCTCCTTAGACTACAGCACTCTAATGGGGTTCATGATTAATCATTTTTCCCCCCCCAGCTGGGGAATCTAAGCTTGAGAAATGGAGCTAGCCAGGATGAAACTCTTGAATACTCTCATATTTGTGTTCACATATGAACACACACCTACAAAGAATAGAATTTTATATTGGCCAAGTGCAATTAAACACACCAGGAATTTGTCTCAGGTCGCAGGATACCTATAAACAGCAAGGCACAGATCACAATAAAGCGGAGGGCGTAATTTGCTGCTTTATGGCGAATATTGGCACCTTTCAGAACCACAAAGTCATACATTTCCAGGCCAGCCTGCAGGTACCACCTGCAGGGGGTGGGGGATATGTACAAACACACACACACACACACACGTTGGTTTTCTACAATCGCTTTGGGCTTCACATTAGCCGCCCCTCCCCTCTTGGCAGAAGGGCAGATTTAAGACGAAGGCGTGTGGCTTTAAGGAGGCAAGCGAAATCAGAAATGAGGCTCACGTTTAATAGGTGACATCACTAGGTTTGGGCTCGATATTCGGTATTCTCTGGCGGTCGGTTCCAGCCAAGGCTGCGGGAGGCGCGCGGGGCGGAGACAAGCTTCCCAGGTGGGCAGCAGAGACCCGGCCTCCCTTTCCTTCGCCCGGTTAAGCCCGAGCTTTTTAATAAGACCGCGGGCGGCGGCCGCCGCCACCGCTACCCCCTCCCCTCCCCCTGCCCCCCGCGATGCCTTTCCCGAGGCGGCCGGGCTGTCTCCGTCGCCTCCGGCTGCCCTCGCTCTCTCGGCCACGCGGCTGAGCGAGCCCCCACCTCCACCCCTTAGAGAGACCCGCGGGGTGGTGGTGGTAGAGAGGATGCACGGAGGCAAAGCTCCAGCCCAGCCAACGGTCGCCAGCGTCCGAGGAGCGCCTCTCGTCGGCGGCAGCCCCTGAGGCTCGCTCGGCGCCCGAGGTCAGGCCTCGGGGAAGGGCAGCGCTGCAGAGCTTCAGCCCGGCAGCCCCGGGCCTCGCCTCTCCTTCCTCCGGGATGCTGGGCGCTCCGCCGGCCCCCTTTTCTAGCGCGTAAAAAATAATAATAATAAAAAAAAAGGCCCAGCTTTGGTATCGCCGGAGGAGCGCACGGCAGAGCGACCGTGCCCCAGCGGCCCGGGAGTGCGTGTGCGTCTGCTACGTAGCTCTGCAAACCGGGCTCCTGTCAGCCCAGCAAGCTCGGGCGCCGCAGAAAGCGGCCAGCGCGGCGGGTGTGCATGTCTAGATATATTAAACCGTCCTCATCCTCATCTTCATCGTCGTCAAGGAGGGGGCGATTTTGCCGGAGAGGAGGAGGAGGAGGAAGAGGAGGAGGAGGAGGAGGCGCGCACCGAACACAAAAGATTCCGGGGCTGGGTCTCGCAGAAGGAAGCGGCGCGCTCCACGCAGCTCTTCCCCCAGCCCGCCGGGGTGGGCTGCTGCTCCTGCTCGCCCCCCCAGCCGCCTGCCGCCCGCTCCTCTTGGGGAGGCTGTGGAAAGCGGGGCTGCGTCTTTCCGCCTCCCGACGCCCTGAGAAGCCAGCCACATCGCCTGTCATCCGGGGGCTGCTCCTTCCTGGCGTCGCCTTCCTCCCTGGCGAAGAGGCAAAGTCAAGCCTCCGGGGCGCCTTGAACTGGTCCAGGCAGAGTGGCGGCGGCGGCGGCGGCGGCAGGGACCCGGGAAGGCAACCAAGATGCCCCTGCGTTGCCGCAAAAGCTCGGGGCTCGGCGGGCGGGAAGCCTGCGGACCCAGTGGATCCCCGCGTTAGGGTCGTGGGCAGGAGGAGGTAGGAAGGGGTGTTTGTGTGGGTGTGTTCCTGAGCCTCTCGTTGCGGTCGACCCTAGGCGGCTCCCCCCCCCGCCCCTTCCCCCCCACTTTCCTCCGGGCATCCTGGCAAGCGAGCCACCGTTGCCAACCATTATCGGGATTCTTGCAAAAATAATATTTCGGATCGAAAAAGAGAGAGAGAGAGAGAGAGAGAAAGAAGGGGGTGGGAACGGACGATCACCTTTTCCACCGCATCCTCTTCCAAGGACTGGAGCTAAACCATTGGCTGCGCGGAGGTTTTAAAGGCCTTTCTTTAATTTTGCTGGTTGGACCTTGATTTCCAAGACCTTGTGCTCCTGGAACGTGACGCTCCTTAAACGCCTGAGCAAGAAAGAGAGACCCCCGTTGCTGGTCTGGTTGGTTCCAAACGTGGAAAACTGGAAGAATTCACCAGTGGACTGATCCAAATGCCCAGCCACAGAAAGGACACACTACTTTACCACTTACTCTTGGCTTGTTGGGCATCTTGTTGATTGAAGTGGAACCTTCACAATTTCTGGCCTTTTCTTTGCCCCACCCTTGACAACTCTCTTACTCCAGGAGTGAATGAATGCCCAAGGTTGTTTATTTCTGGACAAAAGTGTTTCTCCCCCCTTCTTCCCCACCCCACCCCCTCAAAACTGTGATTGATGACTTTGTCTTCACTTCTGTGTAATAACTGCTCATCGCAGTTGGTGCCCTCTGATACCCGCCCTGGAGCTGGGCTTTCTCTGTAAGTAAAGATGCCCATGGTGGTGTTTCTGTGAAGCTAAGGTATGGCTGCTGGAAGATTGCTACTTTATGCTGGCCTTTCTTTAGCTTTGTGTGCTCTGGGCATGCTAGCCGTGGCCATCTGCTCTGACCACTGGTATGAAACGGATGCCAGGAAACATCGGGAACGATGCAAAACCTTCACCACGCGGCGGAATGACCCTGGCTTCATTTATAATTCTAACAATAACCTGCCCCTCCGTGCCAGTAGGTCAAAGCTGGACCATTGGGAAGGGAAACTTCTCTTGGCAAGAAACAAGAGGCAACTCTTTGCCATGAGTGCCGTTGATGAGTGCAACAGGCAATATAATTCTACTAACATGGGACTTTGGAGGAAGTGCCATCGGCTGGGATTTGACCAAGATGTGGAGGAACTCATTGCTAAAGGTAGGAGCTTCCTTTTAACATTTACTTGGTTGAGCCACTTCCTGTAAAGCATTAGAATCATGGGATGCTCCTAAATGCATTGCCTTGGAAGTAACGCTTATTGAATGCAATGGACCAATTAATTCCAATTAAATAGCTATGGTGAAGCCAAAGAAAAGCTATTGTTTCAACCTTTCCCCAACCTGGTGCTCTTCAGAAGGTTTGGACATCAGTTCCTGTCACCCTTAGCCAAGATGGAAAAAGCTGGGTAGACATTATAGGAAGTGAAAGCCATTTCCTGTGCAGGATGACAGGTTATAGGAGCTGCTCTGTTCCAAGAAGGTTATAGTGCCTAAAACCGATTTTACCAGGTTATCGCACAGGCTTAACAATCATAGGTGAGAGAGTTTTGTTTTACAGAATTCAGAAATGAGAAATGCTGTGAATGCCGTGTCAGTTTTATCAGGTTACCCAGGACTATGGTATGTTGAGCCTATTTTGAAAGCAAAGTAGAGCAGAAAATTCACAGAATCCAACATCACATATCAGAAAGCTAGATTGTTTCTAACTTAAGATTCATAGCTCTTTGAGAAAGAATAATGAGAAATGGAAGAGACAGTGCGTAAAGTGAGTTTAGTGGTTGCAGGTTATTTAAAAATGGACTCTGAATTTCCATTGGAAGAAATAATGTTAATGCATTAAGGAAACTTTGAGATGGAATAATTTCATTCCCCTCCCAAAGAGCCATTCTGTCTATCAAAAGCAGCCATGTATTATTCTTTCCTTTTTTTTCCTGTAAAGTATTTGGCTAAAAATGATGGTCAGCATATTTGTCTGTATTATTTCCTTTTTCTTTTTTTTATAATAGGCAAAGTATAGACAATTCTTAATTATGCTGGATGATTTATTAGGGTGAAAGTTGCAAACAGACTGCTTCTGAATGATTCCTTACTACATTTTTATTTGTATTGCTGTGCTACAGAAAAATACTCTCCAGTCATACTTAAAATGTATTAAAAGGGTCATTTTGCACTGTTATAGAAACCTTAAGCAGTTACACCACTGTTTCTATTTCAGATTTTTTTTAAAAAAAAATTTCTTCAGTATAGATTCCAAGCACACTTGTACGGATATATAATTGGTTCCATTTATTTTACACAAGGTTTTGAAAGGTTGATGTGTGAGATTAAACATCCTTACCAAAAAAGCAATCCAATCAAAAGTGTGTTGCCTCTTCATTAGGTTCAAATACAACCTTGAGATTTAATAGCCGGGAGGTGTGATGGACTAGCAGCTGTTTGGTGACTTCATGAAATGTATTCTTGGCTCTGTTCCATTTTGTAATGGGCCACTGTCCATAATCAAAAGCTGTTGTCACAGTTGGCATCATGGCTGACTGGCTCAGCAGGGAAATCAAGGATTCTTCCAGGTCAGACTCTGAGTTTATTGCAGTAGCACCAAAAGGAGCTGTGGGAATATATCTTGGATTAATCTCTTTGAAAAAAGTAAATACTATAGGTAACAGTAGTCTGAAGCTTTTAAACCATGGTTTAAATATTGATAGAAGCTTTGCAATCAATGGGGAAAATGTCAACTCAAGAATATATTTCTTAGGTAGCTTCATGTAAACTACCAATTGGTTTGGTGGCTCAATTGCCCATTAGCAAACCCAAATTGTATGGAGGGCATGGTCATTGAGATGGAATAATAAAACCTGATTACATGTCATAGAGTTAGAGTAAAATGAGGAAAATCTAGATACTGAATTGGAAAGGCTTGAAATGATGAATAGCTAAAGCCAGTTTTATGACTCTCTTTTCCCCTTGGGGTTGCTACTTATCAGTTACACATTACTTCTAATTTGCTGAGTGCTTTGTTGTTTGTATTGGATTATAGTTGTTGAATCAAATCTGGATAATTTGGTTGTTTGCTTGCAGACGTTGTTTGCTTGCAGACGTTGCATTACAATACTAGGTAATACCTTCAGTCAGACGTCTGCAAGCAAACAACCAAACTTAGAGAGCACTAAAGACTCCACAGTTCAATCCTGAATTACAGTACTCTTCCATTGGATAATTTAATATTAATTGTTAAGAAATGGATTTTGAAAAATAGTAGATTGCCCAAGACAACTGTGCCTGGTTAATGGGGTTTTTATAAGAGGAGAAATGCATTGTGTAGAAGCTAGATTTAGATTCAACATTTTTATGGCTTTGACAAGATTCACACTCATACTCAGTTATTTGTTATATGTTGAATCAAACCTAAGATATTTTTTACAGACAAATAATTATTTTCTTACATAAATTCATACTGGACTTCTTTAAAACCTAGATATCAGGTGGCCTTACTGACCTCTCGCCTTGTGTGGTTGAAGATCATAATAGTAAGAAATCCATAATTTCCATAATGGGAAAAATCCTTTGTAAAGTATATGTTCAGGGATGCTAATTGTTTCACTATTCCAATACTATAGTTTCATTCCACTTTTACTTTGCACTGTGGTTTCAGTTTCACTGTGTCAATATGTCATCCTTTGGTTCCATTTAATAAATTTCAAGGATCCAATAAAAAAGCAAACCACATCTAGATTAGATACTAAAGGAACCCAATGAGGAAAATGTATTGTTTTAGTTTAAGAAAACTGGCGGGGGAAATGTTTTTGCTTAACTTGCTATAATTGGTTTCATTTTGAAAACAAAACAGATACAACAGCAGTTTTGTAGATCAGTAGACACTTATTTATGTTACTTTGTGTAAAACTACTTTAACTATAGGAAAGGGGAAGAAAGTTAATAATGCCACTAAATTTTCCTACGTGGGTAAAATTCTAATATTCTACAAAATATTTTGTTTGTTTACCGTAGTAGGATAATCAGAATAGAATATTTAACACACAATATTCTTCCTTTCTAGCAGTTTTGAGAGACAGCAGGTAGTAACTCCCTATACATGCCAATTCATGAACACTTTTCTCCATTGTAAATAGTTATTACATCTACTGTAGTCTTGAAATGACTGCTGTAACAAGATAAAAAAAATATTCATTTTGCTTTGATTTTGAGATCAATACTGACTGAACTTTGTGTATATGCTCCATTTCAATCTAAGCTAGTTATTTGAATTTAGTATGAGTTCTTAATGGGATAACAAGTATCAGGAGGGGTGTGGCTGATCACCATTATATTTGATCCTTGCCGATCTTGAGCTGCACAGAGTAAATAGATTTAGGAGGTGAATAATATGTCTGAGAAAAGGAATTATTAGCTACACATTGGGAATTGTTAGCTATACATGGGGGCTAAAGTTTCCCAGTGCAGGAATGCAGGAATGCCAAGAATGTAAAAAGGCAATTGTCACAGAACTGACTGTGGAAAACATAAGGCAAATATTTTGTGGAAAGTATGGGAAGAAAAAGGCGTAGAATTAAATCCAAGAGGATATAAGGTAGATCCTAGCTTTATGTTAGATGCAATGAATTGTTGGAAAAAGAACACTTCTATTCAGATGTCATAATAAATATTCAGTTTAGACTTTGCCATGTCATGTGCTGGGAAGTTCTGACCTGCCATTTTAAAGAGGTAAACAGAAGATAATTCTTTAAAAAGTCATTATTGAATCAAAAATGATCCAACAAATATAGAATAACAGAGTTGAAAGGGACCTTGGAGGTCTTCTAGTCCAACCCCCTGCTCAGTCAGGGAACCCTATACCATTTAGACAAATGATTGTCCAATCTCTTCTTAAAAACTTACAGTGCTGGAGCATTCACAACCTCTGGAGGCAAATTGTTCCACTGATTAATTGTTCTGTCAGGAAATTTCTCCTTAGTTCTAGGTTGCTTTTCTCCTGGTTAGTTTCCATCCATTGTTTCTTGTCCTGCCCTCAGGTGCTTTAGAGAATAGCTTGACTCCCTCTTCTTTGGGGCAGCCCCTGAGATATTGGAACACTGCTATCATGTCACCCCTAGTCCTTCTTTCAATTAAACTAGACAAACCCAATTCCAGCAACTGTTCTTTATATGTTTTAGCCTCCAGTCCCCTGATCATCTTTGTTGCACTTCTCTGCACGCTTTCCAGAGTCTCAACATCTTTTTTACATCATGATGACCAAAACAGGATGCAGTATTCCAAGTGTGGTCTTACCAAGGCATTATAAAGTGATATTAACACTTCACATGATCTTGATTCTATATCTCTGTTAATGCAACTTAGAACTGTGTTGGGTTTTTTTGGTAGCTGCAGCACACTGCTGGCTCATATTTAAGTGACTGTCCATAGGACTCCAAGATCCCAATAGTTACTACTATTGAGCAAGGTACCACCTATACTGTACCTGTGCATTTGGTTTTTCTTGCCTAAATGTAGAACCTTACTTTTTTCACCATTGAATTTCATTTTATTAGATAGCGCCCAATGTTCGAGTCTGTCAAGATCCTTCTGTATCTTAAGCCTGTCTTCTGGAGTGTTGGCTATTCCTGCCAGCTTGGTGTCATTGCAAATTTGATGAGTTCCCCATCTATCCCCCTCATCCAATATTTTCATGTCCTAATTAGATTTGAAGCAGTCTTGTCTACATTAAGGTTAATGGGTGTGTCAAATCTCCTGATTATTCTTCTGAGGGCTTTTACAATGAATCAAACAACTATTGTTAAATAATGAATTTGAAACAACAGTGTAGCTCACAATAGGAAAGAGAGTGAGACAATGATGTATTTGTCACCATATCTGTTTAATTCTTCTTCTTGCTTTCAAAACTCCTGACAACTGCCTGGACATGTCCCTGCAGTTTTCTTGACAAGATTTCAGAAGTAGTTTGCCATTGCTTTTGTGATGGTAGTGGGAAAGACCTTGGGAGACTGGGTGAAGAGATGCTGCCTAGGGAATGGTCAGATCAGTGAGAGTTTAGTCTGCAGCTGAATAGTGGGCAGAGTGAGAGCCTAAAAAAGAACACTCTCTAGTTTTTTAGGCTATAAAGGAGATATAGCAAGAGAATTGTGCTTTCAGATCACTGCTTCAGAC